ATCAAGATTCCATAGTAGGTCATAAACCTGCTCGATACTCGAAAGGGTCAAAAAATCGAAAATGGATGTTATACATGGAAAATAATACTGTGGCCCGTACACGGGCCACGCGTCCCAGGAGCACGACAGGGCGTGACCCGTATACGGGCCGCGCGGTCGTCAATGGGTTAAAAGTCTCACTGTCTAGAGGGATCACTCTTTTGCGTCCGTCACTGCCGCCGTGCGTCCGTCTGGAGTCGCATCCATTGCTGCTGGCCCGGAGCCGTCCGTGAGGTGTTCGTATTTCCTGCCGGTGTTGTCGCCAGGAAGTCGCTGCAACCACTCCCCTGAGTATCCCAGGCGGTTGTAAATTGTTTTACTGTGTGAGCGTCTTTGATAAGAAATTTTGTCTGTTTTATCGCATTGCTTCGTTTCTTTTGTGTCTAAACAATGAATAAATTAATTTTGTTGGACATTCTTTTTAGCGGCACCACCTCCGAGCGGTTACAGCCGTCTTCATACCTACTCTTTTCCAACTTGGCAGCCAAGCCGCCGTTTGAAGGTGCGTGCGAGCTGAGAAAATTGTTGTCTTCTTTCCGTCTATCGATTTTTTTGTGTGATTTGTATCTACGTTAAAGCTCCTTGGCGTGGCCTCGAGTGGCTTTAGCGTGGCGCACTGCTAGCGGTCAAGTGGATCTTCACAGGATGGCCGACCGTTTCCGGCGTTGGACGGCAGGGCAGGCTTCCCGTTAGAGACATGTCGTTATAGTCGAAATACGTTTGTAGAAGGTATTCTGTCTGAAGTCCCTCAGCCGGCATGCGAGGAATGTATCAAGTGTGAACTGGATGATGCGCGTGTCTTATCCATATGGCGAGATCCCGGCTCGATATCACTGAAGATGCGATGTATAATAGATCGTTCGTATCAGGCGCCGAGACCCAAAGCAGTAGGATTTGCACACGCTTTCTTCCGAGATCAGTGTCTGCATGGGATTATGGTTGGAACAGTCCCACAAAAAGCGCTGTTTTGTCATGCGCAGATTCAAGGCTGGTCGCTGGATTTGACTAGTATCATAGAATATGGCTATAGAATCTTAAGACAAGTGGAATGGAAACACGTCGAGCAGTCGGTGCAAAAGGCATAGGGGCATGGTCGTACAGTAGCCGTGGTGCCCAAAGGTTGCACAGGCTCAAGCATTGTTTAACAAGCAGTCAGACAGAACTTTTCTAATACAAGTCGTTCCGGGAGGTCAGAGCTTTTTCAGAGGTCGAAAACAACTTTTTGCGGACGATATCGGAAAAGTGATTAATGTTCTGCCCTGTCACTCATGCGACTTCTTTTTTGTTCATTTGCCATTTACTTTCACTTCTCGTTTCTAATTTTGTTGTTTAGTTTTTGATCGGGCCTATTCGATTATAGACGTGATCTACACAATTCTCTAGCGGCTCGGGGCAGCTATTGAAAGCAATTCTCAGTACGACGGTCGACTTCGTCACAATCGTCTCCAGTACCGGCTGGGCTCTAGCCCCGATCTCATCACATATTCGGTTCAAGTAAATATTCAAGTTATCCTACACCTTCATTGTTTCAAGTGAATACCACTCTCATATTCTACTCCTAGAGAGTTCAAATCGAATTACCTCAAGTCGGAATTCGTTCAGGAACAGGTGATCAAGTACCCGCGTGGCTGGACATATTCATAAAACGAGCTAATCCCTTACGACTTTTGATATGCCCTCCCCCTTGGGAACCGGCGGATCCGTTCTCATGCTTGCAGTTCGTGAACGCGATGAACTTGTGGTTAACGTGTTGAGCGCATGATTGTTGTCAACGGACCCAGATCGTCAGGACTCAACAGCTGGGACAGAAGAAATGAAAAAGCACGAAATCATTTTAATGGGTATGTAGACACGTATCCAGCATTTCTCAGCCAACTGCACTACTTAATACCATCGGAGCCAGGTGTTCTCAGCTCGGCTATGGCCTCTCTGAAAGTTGGATTGGTTCACGACCAAACTAGGTTGTGGACCGTCGATCAGGCAATTGAATCCTATGGATTTCTCAGGCACAAAGTGGAGGAGTTGGCTCGATCCCGTCAGGATTCCGAATATTTGAGACCGAGAGGTAATCCGTCGGTGGTTGCTCACACGCAGTCGTCGGGAGGGCCGGCGATAAAGGATGGACGAATTTCTAAGCGCCATTCGAAGCGTGTTGAAAAAAGGAAACTCCGAAGTCTGCAGCTAGCGACAGAGAAAAAGCTCGACGAACTTAGTATGGAATAGCGTGCAGGGCTGAGCGGGAAGCTAGTTAAATCTGGGGACTGATCTCTTTTCTGAGGGGGAGCATGTGCGGGTCGAGGTAGCTGCCAAACTAGGCAAGTTTGCGCGGTAAAACACAGTCCTAAGAGTCACATATCTGGAGGGCTCTTTCTTTTGCGTCCGTCACTGCCGTCTGCGTACGACTGGAGTCGCCTCCATTGCTGCTAGCCATCAGTGAGGACGTATTCCCTGCCACTGTCGTCGCCAGGAAGCCGCTGCAACCACTCCCCTGAGTGTCCTAGGCGGTTGTCAGTTGTTTTATTGTGTGAGCGTCTTTGATAAGAGATTCTGTCTGCTTTATCGCATTGCTTTGTTTCTTTTGTGTGTGAACGATAAATAAATTAATTTTGTGAGACAATTTTTCCGGTGGCACCACCTCCGGAAGGTCATAGCCGTTTTCATACCTACTCTTGTCCAATTCTCACCATATGAAGCGCTATTGGATCATACTGCTTCTTCACTATTGAACCGATTCGCAACGAAGGCAGTGCGCCAGTAAGGCCAATCGCACCCATCATTTTTCCGTGAGGGTAAAAGGAGTAGCAGCATTATCAAGGTGTTGATATAAGCCGAATTGAGAATTGACGACCTCTTTTGCATTATGCTAATGATATTCGACAGCTTGCTCTTTATGCAAATTTGCAAATTTTCTTGACCATCGAATGGTGAAAGACCATGTCATTTCGTCTAAACTACAGGAATGTTTCAGATAAGATCATAACACTTACACAACCGCTCTCTTCATTTTCAAGCAATCATTCATTATCCTTTGTGGAATCCCAGAAACTTACGGCGGTGCTCCATCTTCACTATCGTCAAAAAGCAGATCACTAATATTTGTCGGTCTTCACGGAACACATGCACGTTATCGTAGAAGACATGCAAAATTATAACTTGAGTACTCTAATACTCTACACTCTAATACTCTTCGTTACTGGTAATAGAAAAGAATATCACCGGTCGAGGATCAGAGGGCTTAACAACGGTCCACAAAAGGAGTATAGCACACAGAAGTGGTGAGATACTTCTACTTCGGAAGAATGCGAGATTACAAGAGCATCAAGCAGAACAAGCAAACTACTAAAGAGTAAACTCATTTCGAGCGTGTATTATTGAGCATTAGCAAGTATAACAACCACACTACACTGGAAGCTCTTGAGGTCTGGAAAGGCAATAAAGGATGAAGGACAGCCAAGTCTTGGGTCTTTGGGTTTTTAGAACATCATCATCCACACAATGTCGGACACCCAACATCCAGCTGACCATAACAGATACACAGAGTCGCAGCATGGCATTCGAAGCAGACCAAGACCTTTTTCATGTGGAACTGTAGGAGAGGTGTATCTTCAATTACCATTTATAACAGACCGTTTCAGCGAAGTTATTCAGCAACGCATGAAAAGAACCGCGCTTATGACGTTCTTTTGGTTAACACACCAAGAGACAACATTAAACACTGTTAGTTGAGAACCGTCGCTATGATCATTTTAGTTGCCCTTTTTGAACACCGAAGTTAGTGTTTCCAGTCGAAAATGTGGATGAGAAAAGGAAGCTACGAGAACATCATCATCACACAATGTCGGACACCCAACACCTTGCTGACCATAACAGGTACACAGAGTCTCAGCATGACATTCGGGTCGGAGAGTCACAGAAAAGAGAGTCATGCTGCATCATCGGTAGGTGCGTTATCTGCCCAAATGGAAAAGTAGGAGACTGTCAACAAAGGTTTCTGGTTTACCAGCTTCTGCGATTGACATGTGTTCATGATATATTACAACAATTGGGAGACAATAATGCGTTCATGAAAAAGAACGTTTAGCTATCAAATGAAGAAATTCCCCGATTGCATCACCAGGAGAGCACAGAAAAGAGAGTCATGCTGACTTAAATTTTGAACGCACGCTTTTCCCCTACTGGTTCCAGTAGATTCTCCAAGCACGAATAACAAGAATGAGTGCATCAACACAATCTCTTGCCCTACACACACCACTATGTGTGAGCTTTGAAGTGGGGACTGATACGTGCCCCGATTCTATGAATAGGTCATGGTTGACCGGACAGTACCACTTGCGCTATTATTTCTGAAGTCGAGCAACTGTTCGTTGTTGTTGGAAGTGAGTTGATTGTTGGAATTTCCACTTTGTTGGGAGTTGGCGGGTCTGAGTTGCAACTACAAGAGTTGGACTCTATCAAGTAACATTTTGAAGTTCCGAACGCTTTAAGGCCTATAAAAACGACGAGTTTGTCGAAACGTCAGGCACAATAAATGATCCACCATCAGAAACCTGTTAAGCACAGAAACATTGGTCACGCGTGGAATAATACCTTTAACAATACTACATGGTAGTAGAGGACACACCGAGAACGGGGGCACTTGCATAAAGCTTTGTGACTCGTGACAGCATGATACTGTTTCCGCACTCATGGTTCAGTTGGACTCAATTCCTTCCATTGTATAACTTCTATACCGTCCATTGGATGCTGCTCCATTAGCCATTGCGCCCGTACCATAGGATTCCGTTAGAAAGAACCATTTTTTACACTGCAAAAGCTGGGAGTATTTGTTCTACTTCATTATTGACTAAAAAAAATTAATATAAATACCAATAAATATATAACGCTTATGTACCCCCGATAAGTGGCAAGAAGTGAAAACACTTAGACGGCAGTATAACCACTAGCTCTTCAAATTTCAATTTTAAGGCTTTCAGAGCACGTGGAATACGTCTACGCGGCCTCTTCTCTGTATCAGACAGTTCATTAGAACAGAAGGTAGGACCACGGTTACATCGTCTGGAACAACTTCCACCAAGCTTACGGCAACTCATAGGTTCGAGGAAGGCCTACTTAATCCAATATCTCATTCACCTTCACAGAACGCGCTGTCTCATTTCAGCCACTTTGTTGTACATTTGCGAAACTAGAAATTTGTCATTAGTTTCCATTCGATTAGATTCCCTTCCCTAGCAGGAAAATGTGTAATTTTACGATTCACAACACTCTTTCAAAAGGCGATAACTATGTCGATCCCGAGCAACACAAACACGACTATACCATGAACGTCGCCAATCACGCAGTGTCGTAGTCGTTTGCAAATTACTAGATCACAGTCAAATTAGTATTAGTTTTTCATAATGCTGGTAAGATTACAGTCCTGTCAAAGTCAGGTTGAGTTCAGGGAAGTTCCCTGAAAATCTGAGAAGAACGGCTTAGCTGATTCGCTTAGTTTACACGGTCAAAATGACTGACTCATCTGTCCGCTGCCGGTAACGTGAACTATATTCACTTAATTTCGAGAAGTTTTCCTAGATCGGACGCTTAAAGCTTAGATTGCCTAGGTTGTATGGAAGTCTCAGGGATCTGCATGACATTCGACTTTCATTTATAATCAGGAACAAGTTTGAAATTACACATTGGTTCTTAAGAAAAAGTGGGGTGATCGATGGTTTTCTCTTTCTCATGCGATGCCGAACATGTGAAGATGGTTTGTCAAAGTAGTAAAGCCAGCAGCAAACCCTTGTCTTTCCCACCCCCACTCATTTATTAGTTCATTATGATTTTCTCTTTATCGTCAACGAAAAATTGGGGAGAGGGGAAAGCCTCCGCTCGTCGTTTGTTCATCATGCGACATCATCAGCTAAGAGCGTACAGAATAATGAACAAGTTTCAAAATGAAACCATTGTTATCGTTTGCTGATGTAAAGCTGGTGTCCCGCTCATAAGATTGAATGCAGTCTTTCGTAAACCGATTGATTTATTTTTATTTGAGTGTTAATGTCCTGTCAGCCAGTCTGCTGTGCCTGCCTGGTGGAGGGGGGAATCATCGTGTTGCCTGCGCATGTTTTCCGTCAAATGATTTGCTCGGTTGCATCACATCAGCTGTTGCCATGAGTCGTGTGATGGGTTGTTGGATGCGGACTCGTCCGCCTTTCTTACCTCCTCCCACATTTATCCCCACTAGTTAGTTTAGTTTTGCCTCATTCGCCTGCAAGTTTTATTGTCCTATGACTTTGGCTTCGTAACACCTTCGTCATTTTAAAGTTGCTGTTGGTGGACAAACAGCTGACGTCTGATTCCGATTGTTATCATTTCGATGAACAAGTGAAAACGAGTGTCATTTAAATTTACTTTTAGCGACTATTGCTAAGGCAACCTCGTAGTTCGTGATAGCAAAGCCGTAGTATCTAATGAATTGACTGAAAAAGTTGGGCGGAGGTGGTATAGTGCCAAGTGGCATGTTATCTCACATGCACAGTCAGGGGTTCAAATTCCGGATAGATGTCCGCCCTGGCCAACCAAGCCTTCCATCCCTCCTGGGTGGTTAATTGGTACCAGACCCGTCTGGGAGGATAAAAGCACTGACTTGTGCATCGGCTGGCCACCACAAGTCGTTGTAAAGGTCCCAGACGCACTCATTACGCCACTACGATTCTGAGTGGAAGTCGAGTGCGGGGGCGCATCCCTCAGACGGGATTGATTAACACCAAAGACTTTATGCTTTACTTATAACTGAAATAGTTCACGGCCGCTATGAAAGTGCAGTGAACCATCTGCTTTGTTTGCCTGCAGCTCGTCCTGGGCGATTATCATTTGTACTGCCTGAGTATTGTCTTTTTTACTAGACTGAGGGGAAAATACGCTAGCAGTTCTGCTCTTTTTTGATCCATGCACTGGTCCGCTATTCCTTCATCTAATGATCATTCCGGTTTCAAATGAAGTCGATCGCACGGTGGTTCCCAACCCGACTGAACAATTGTCACAACATTATCTTCCAGTTCTTTCATACAGTGCTCGTCATCCATGGCGTAATAGCACTAAATTAAAGATTGTGTGTAGCACCATTTCATACTCACAGCTGTTGACTACTGTCATCATACATCAACGTTCAGCTAAAGAGAAGTGGTATTCACGAAACTTGGAATTTTGCATTTGCACTGAAATTTCCCTAGAGCTAAATATGC